AATGCGCGTTAATTATAATATACAATTTCGAGAACATGATTCCGCAACCAATAGAAGTTTAAAGAAACAAATCGAGACATGTACCCCCATCAGTACGATGTACCCCCCCCCCCACGCACGCGGGTACTAAAACGAACAAGGGGAATACCCGGGGTATTTGTGTCGGAGAAATACGGTAGTTCAAACACCTCGTCACCAAACGTTGACTCATTTAATTGTTATCTTATGATATTACTGTAGTCTTGGCATTTGTTTACTATTTGGGTAATCGCTGAATCATTTATTAATCTGTTATATGAAGAGAGGATGGGGAAAAAAGGGTAACAAGTTTTGCATGAGACCGATAAGAATGTAGCGGTTATAATGATCAAAGTTGTCAGTATACACTCACCTGAAGTACGTGAGTAACAGACCCCCTTTAATTTTAATAATAAACTTTTTTGAGAAACTGTTACAAATTTAATATTTTATTGGCCAGCCGTTATTGGCGATACATGCTTCAATTCTTCTTGGCATGCTTTCAAACATACAAATTGTGGAATTTGGCCCACTTCTCTCCTCCAGTAAAGCATTTTTAAACGCTTTTGAAGCCGACGTTTCAATTCTGATCAATTAGATTCAAATCAGGCGATTGGGCTTGGCCAATCGGGTAAACTTTTAATCTTCTTTGCCACGATCCATTTTTGAGCGTCTTGGCTGTATGGATCGGTGCATTGTCTTGTTGAAACAAATAACCTTTCTTATTATGTTTATAGCAACAAATGCTTTTCAAGAATTTGCATGTAGACAAATCTATCCAATGTGCCTTCAATTTTTATCAATGGTTACCTGAAAAGCAACCTCATACCATTAACCATGTTTTACTGAAGAGTAATTTTTTTAATACTAAAACGTGTTCCAGGAGTTTGCCAAACACGGCCTGGTCCGCCCATTTTAAATATGGGAAAGCGACTTTTATCACTCTAAATAATGCTTGTTTGTTTTCTTTACTGATCATTCCTTTCTTTCAAGACACCAACTGAATCGATTTTCTTGCTGTTGCGATGAAAGAAGAGCTGTCGCTGCTAGAATACGTAAACTAAAGCCATTTTTATGCAGGTATTTTGTTAAGGCACGATCAAAAATTTGAATGCCAGTTTAAGTTTTGTTCTGTTTTGTTTTGTTTTTTAATTTTTAATTACAGGTTGCTTTCTGTTTCTTTGTTGGGCTTTGTAATCTAAAGATCTGGGATGACCACTTCCTGATGCAGTTTGCATGCTTTTTCCATTGTAATAATTATGAATTGTTTGCGTAATTGTTGTTTTAAAAAACCTAATGTTTTATTAATATTGTGTCGAAAAAAACCAGCTTTATGAAGGCCAACGATTTGGTAACGATCACTTTCAGTAAAATCAGCGCTTTCTATTACGAACTTGTCGTGCATTTATATATTGGTCAACTTTAGTCTTTATTTGTAAACAATCGACAATTAACAGACGCGACGCGTAATTTGTTCCAAAAACCTGAACTAGAACATATAAAATTTTTGCAAACAATTATATGTAGGCTTTTATACAAATTAATTATTATTCGTAACTTAAGTAAAAGGGGTCCGTTACTTACTTCAGGTGAGTGTATCTTAATCTACATATGTGCCAAATTCACAGACGGCAGACGGTCAAACTCGACTTGATGAAATAAAACCTTCGATGCTAAAAAGGTCAGAACTATAAAAAGAGTTAGGATTAAAGGGTGTGGTAACTTTTAGTGTGGTAATTTCCAATATAAATAATTGCGATATCAATAGTGATTAATTTGGTTGGTACCAAGTTAGCAGAGTTGAAGGAACTATTCACAGTTTTTAGAGAATGTTTGCCCTGTATGTCAATACACAGTAAATTCCTATGTGACTTAACGGACAATTGAAAAGATGCTTGGCCGTCAAAGTTCGTTTATTTTCTCTTTCGGCCCGCTCATCCCTCGAATCGCTTTATCCGGGCGTTCCACCTAAATCAAGCCTGCGTTACCTATTAATTGTCAAACTTCTATAAAAACATAGTCATCAACACTCTCCACCTAAAAATAATAATAATCTACCTGCAAGAATGAGTTCTACATCATCGAATAATTCAAATGAAAGGAGTACGCAATCTTTGAGAGGACAGTCATCGGGACAGGGTAGGAAGGGTCCGCCTGCTAAATCCAATAATAATAAACCTCCACCGGCAATCTCTACTTCCGTTGAAAAAAGTCCGTCTAATACTAGCTCTAAGAATGGTAGTGGGGATAGTTACTTTTCACCTATTTCTCCAAATTCCGATGGGTATAATAACCCACTTAAAGGCGCTCCCGCTATTAACGTGCATGGTGAATCTGTACAGTCAACTACCGATAGAGAGAGTGGGAGTGGAAGATCCTTCAAGGGAGTTCTTAATAATTTTGTTAGTTCAATGACAGGTAAGGACAAGCGCTTTTTAGATGGTCGAGGCAATGAAATTCAGTGGAGAGACGTGCTGTAAACGTGAATGCGGTAACAATTGTAGTGGTATTTGAAATACGTTTAATGTCTGTGTGTTTACTGTGACTCTCAGCTAGTCTGCTTGCAATTTGTTCTTTACAGGAGACATTCTTTTAGTATTCCAGTTTTTTAAATTATGATCATTATTTGCTAATCAATGAATTGATTTCCAGACCTCTTAGGACCCCCAAAGAGAGTTGAGATTTCGTCACCGTATGATCCGGTTCATTTGACTCATGTTGGATTCAATCAAGATACGGGAGAATTCACGGTGAGATACTTTCGTAGGAGAACATTTGAATTGGAAGACATAGCGTGTGTGCAATAAGTATAATACACTACACATATCATGTTTCACATATTTACGATCGCCGTTTGTTATTCATAGGGTTTACCTCAAGAGTGGCAGCAACTATTACAAGATTCGGGTATCACAAAACAAGATCAAGAAGCAAATCCTCAGGTATTTTATTCGTATTCACCGGCTGTTTTTACTAGATTTTCAACGTCTCATCCATACCAATTCTGCTTCCATTCAGGCTGTGTTGGATATTGTTGGGTTTTATCAAGATATTACAGGCAATACAAACCCAAAATTGATCTGGGAAAAATTCAATGATGCTAAATTGACCAAGACACAACCTAAAGCGCCAACAGCCGGATCAAGATCGCCACCGCCGCACACTGACAAGACATTCGAAAATCCCGTAAGTAAAGAATGAAGCAATACTAGAAATTAGATTGGAATTAGAGAAGGAATATAAAAAAGGATACAATGAACAGACACCAAAAAGAAATATGTGTTATAGACAAATTGTTACCGACTAGGAGACGAAACAAGAGTTGTTGAACTAACCACGAGCATTTATTCTCGGCTGGGCATTTCGTATATTTCAGCGAATAGCTCCATCGCCGCCACCAAAGAAGAAGTCCTCGCCTCCTGTACCAGCAAGACCAGCAAATCCACCATCACCAGCGGTGAGTGTACAATGGGGATCAAGTATTGTGAATCGGCTTAATATTTGTTTGAATGTTTCGACGATAACAGAATATCTGTCATATCGCAGGAGATGAGAAATAGACCAACATCGCCATCATCGGCTCAAAGATATCCAAACAGTATGTGTTGTGTTTTACTTTCAGTTTTACCTATTCCTTATTTCAATTTCACAACCTATCACTCACGATTTTTATTTCCCTCCAGAAACATCACAAGACCCACCAAGGCTCCCGCCAATAAATCTTCTGCCACCGCTCGACAGTCGTTCCACGCCAACGCCACCCCCAAAACAATACAAACAACCACCGCGCCCCAAGGAAAACCTAAACCAATCTCCTGTCCCTCCAGCAGCAAAACCAACTCCGTCAACAAAACCAACCCCGTCAACAAAACCAACTCCGCCAGCAAAACCAACTCCGCCAGCAAAACCAACTCCGCCAGCAAAAGCGCAAACCACACACACACCGAGTACTCGCCGAAGAGAACCAAAGACAAATCCAACAAAAAATTCAACGGATATCATAGAGCGCTTACAAGCCATCTGTACCGATGCAGATCCAACCAAGATGTATAGGAACCTGGTCAAAATCGGTCAGGGTGCATCAGGCGGAGTTTACACGGCATATCAAGTGGGAACGAATTTGTCTGTGGCTATAAAACAAATGAACTTGGAACAACAGCCAAAGAAAGACTTGATTATCAACGAAATTTTGGTTATGAAAGAGAGTAAGCATAGGAATATTGTTAACTATATTGACAGTTTCTTATGGAAAGGCGATTTATGGGTTGTTATGGAGTACATGGAAGGTGGAAGTTTGACAGATATTGTGACAAGTAACATAATGACCGAGGGACAAATTGCTGCTGTCAGTAGAGAGGTAAGTTAACTGGGTGGAATTATTGAAACGGGTGAAACATGTAGAGGCGAGGCAAAATGTGTATCAAGAAAGTAGCATAAAGTCTTGCGAAAGAAGGATGCGATGCGAATGTGATTGGCGAACAAATGGCGAGTGTATATAAAATCGTTATCCTAATTCTTTTTATAGACTCTAGAAGGACTCGCTCATCTGCATTCTAAAGGCGTCATTCACAGAGACATTAAAAGTGATAATGTGCTTCTTGCCCTTAATGGCGACATCAAGCTTAGTACGTGTCGTATCTGTTTTCCCTTTTCCATTTTCCCTCTTACGATTTTGTTCTTCTCACTCGCCATAAAACATTTTCATTGGTCTTCACAGCTGATTTTGGTTTCTGTGCCCAAATCAACGAAATCCAGAGTAAACGTACTACAATGGTGGGCACGCCGTATTGGATGGCACCAGAGGTAGTAACACGCAAAGAATATGGTCCTAAAGTAGACATTTGGTCGCTTGGTATTATGGCAATAGAAATGATTGAAGGCGAGCCACCGTATTTGAACGAGAATCCGCTTAGAGTAAGTTTTTAAGGATTGTCCGAGATTGCATTATGTCTCTGATCATGCATTTGAATATATCGATTCATTCGTTTGTTCACTAAATGTCTTGCCGAATTTTTCGCGCCAATTAGGCTCTGTACCTCATTGCTACAAATGGAACGCCACAATTGCATCATCCGGAGATTCTATCTCCCGTGTTTCGCGATTTCTTGGCCAAATCGCTGGAAGTTGACGTTGAGAAACGACCGACAGCTGTAGAGTTGTTGAAGGTGAGATGAAAAGAAGTTAATACTAATGTTTGCCATTGAGACGATGGATATACTATAATTGAAAACGCGTTTGTGTTCGTTTGTTTTTTCACTCTTCAATTAATGCGTCTTATGATCTCTATCCAACTTGTAAAGCATCCTTTCCTTCAAAAATCAGAGCCACTCCGTTCGCTAGCATCATTGATTAAGACTGCTCGTGAGAATGCTAAAAGAGGATGATAAAGGTTTTCTGTCAGAGATTGCTTGTCTTGTAAGGTATTCAAGATCATTATTTCTTATAATGTCAATATGATGCGTCGATGGAGGACGCCTTAATAATTGGAATAGATATGATCGCTCGGGAGCAAATTATAGTTTGGAATGTGGAAGAAATGAGAAGATGAAACAAATACGTTTTTGTTAACTGAGACCGAGAATGAGCGGTTGAACGATCCTATCAGTTATACTCTTTGAAAAGACAATCTGTATATGTTGTTTCATAGAATTATTCTCGCTATTTGCTTATATTGTTAATAGTGGGACTAACGAAATGTTCACTATATTGTTGATGTATTTATTTCCGGTTAGGCGTCATTTTTAGTCGCTCTAGAAGGAGACCCATATCTCCTTAGCAATTCTTTTTTCTTTCCATCCCGATCATTTATTACAAATTTATAATATTTTAATAAGGTAATGTCAAACCCAGTTGAAAAGGGCACTTCAATCTTTATAGCAACCAGCTTCATGTAATGCAGTTTACAAACCAGATGTGGACTGTTCTTCTCTTAGTACACACTCGGAGGTGTATACTGAGTAACAGATAATGTACATACTACATTTGTTTTCACACACTATTTATCTCAAAATTATTTATTACATTTATAATCTAAACACATAATATACATAATGTTTTTATTTTGTTAATTATCAAAACTAAATCGCCTATTATTTACTCGTGCAGCCGCCAGTTGACTTCGCCTCTTCTCTCTTTTTGTCGTTGGAGTTGATAAATCATCATAATCTGGATCGTTCTCTCCATCATTCCCGTATACAGTTAACACGTAAAACCCCTTCATCATGTTTTTGATACATAATCCCATATTTACAATAGTAGCTACTGTTAAACATAACATGACTGCAAGGAAGAGAGTAAGGAATCTGCGGGTGTATAAATACGGATCGTTGGGATGATTGCTATGCATATTGACGTGAATGATACTATAAAGGGCATATACTACATTCAAGGCTAGTATTCCGATAACCGACAATAAACAGTACTTTTGTTCTTTGGCTGTCCCATACCAGGCGACAATGAACGTAATTGTCCCAATAACAAAAACGGCTATAGTCTCTGTCATTGTTCTAGTATAGCCCAACTTTTCCGACGGTATCAACTGAATGGCGTAAGTTCCAACGAAGAATACATCCATCTTAATTAGCGTCATTAATAACGTTATATCGACGAATGCTTTTCTTACGCTTAGGTCTGCACTGTATTTTTGATAATTCTCCCATCCAAACTCGATTATCAAATATCTCGTCAATATCCCTAGCAATATGCTACATGCTACTACAATTCCAATGATTGTATATTCCAATGGTCTCATCCTCGCCTGGAAGAAATGTTTGGCGTCTTCGGGACCACTAAATCTCGTGGGGTCTACTGGCGTCCAGATTGCGCCATCCGTGCCTTGATCTTCCAGAATAAAGTGTTGATAGGTTTGAATAGCGGCGTACGCTACGGTGATAAAGTTTAGAATAGCGAGAGCGACTAATTGGATGGTGTTGCGATTAAATAGTGCGTCTACACATATGACCAACTGGAATGCTTGTGTGAGAATAAATCTGAACAAGAGAATAAGAACGGGATATTAGAGAGGGTTCGGGAAATGGTAGAAAATATCGAATAATAAGGCTGTTCTTTTGTATTTTCCTTCTTCATTGATACCTACATTGCATGATATATTAAATCCGACTCGCTGATTCCTACCCCAGTCTCACTGAGTGTAAAGTTTCTGACAAAAGACACATGAAAATATACAACCAGACATTCTAACGCTGTCAACACGATTGTCTGCAGCAAAAATGTTGCAAGAACAGTCTTCCCTAATATCGATAGCTTTGGCATTCTGTTCAATAGACCACGGACCCCGCGTATTCGGAATTTGAAATATTCAAGAAAGCGGCAAGAGGTTGTGATGTACTGAACGCCCACTGATTTTATCATTGATTATAAATAACGAATTAACTATTTTTAGATGTGGTATAATCGGGTATGTCCTCCCCAACCATTCAACACAAAATAAGGTCCGATATACATCTGATAATTTTGGCGGCGAGCCCAGACAATATGTGGCACATGAAAACACCATTATAGTTGCTATGTTAGGAGGAGTAGCCAATTATTCAATTGTTGGACTAGTTTATGGCAAATTACACTATTACTATCCTCGGTATACTGATTAGTAGATCTATTTTTACAATGACGTTTTAATGACCAAGGAAAACTGTGGAGTGGACTTGTGACACGAGTCAATGTGAATGGGAAATAGAAAGGAAAAAGATATAATGAATTGCCTACATAAGGTTGAATGATTGTCGAAGTTCGATAATCGGTGTAGCGAGCGGATGAAGGGGGGCTTTGCAGTATCGAACGTTCCTAAGATGCACAAAGGGTGAAGTACACAAGGTTTAGTAAATAATATGCGTCATTTGATATCTAAAAAAATATCCAATAATAAAATAACATATTACGAGAGTCAATCGTGAACATGTGAGTCTTGACCGTAAACGGAAATTACTTCTTCGTCGTGCGTTCGTCCTGATGGACTATCCGTCTTTTGTCAGGAAGGCTTGACATAGTAAGGGGTACATGTAAAACTTGTTCTTTTTACTCTTCCTTTCAATACATAATGACTAATTATTTCTATTGACATGTGTTTTTGCAATTATTGGTTGCCGTTATTTGTCGCACAACTGATGAGTCTAATAATAATAATAATAACCGACAACCTACTTTCCCATTGTCCGCAGTACAAATATTTATCAATCTCCTGGTGCGAGGCGCGGACATGGTCTTTAAATTATTGCAATGAATTAGATTTCAGTTAAGGAAGGGTGAATTTTTATCCGGTCCCATTATGCGATAATCAAGCGGTCCAGACATGCCGCCGTGTACGACACATCGGCTAGAGCCGGATGCTAAAAATAGACAAAGTAGGGTTTGGCCCTGCGTCTTGTGTTAGTCGGAGTTTGTTCTTCACCAACTATAATAGAAGTATTGATGTGCTGTCGCCTAGTAACCCATTTGTGCAATGCCGTTCCGATCTACCGTTCCACAACGCCTTTGTCTATGTGATCTAACCGTAAGCGGTTAGATTTCGTCTTGGCTTTTCTACGGGTATTGACTAATTTGATCTGTAATATAATGCCGTTATCCGATGTGTTTAGAGCTTGGCGAAGTCAAATTAATTGTTATGGAAGTGGTCCCTAAATACGGCGTAATATTAACTGTTATAGTAGGCGAAATGTTTATCCGGAAAACTTGGGCCTGATTGGTTTTGGTTTAGTTGGACTCTTAAACATTCTTGGTTATGCCACGCTTTGTTGTGGAAGACCCCGAACCGAGTTAACTTACCAACCATCAACGGTTACCCTTTTACCAAGGTGAACATACATAACCGCGAGTGCATTCGTAATCATCAAACGCCACGGATTTCGTTCTACCCCGCATTCTTACCACGTTAACTAATAATTAATTATTCAAGGATACAAACGAGCTATCCTTAATTTTTTGTATTCGAACTAGAATTTCTCGCAAATCGGCTGGCGAGACTAAAGCTCGTTTATGTTAGAATACGTTATTGTTTAATTATGACAATATATAAAGGCCAACAACATGCTGCTGCCTTGGATAAATAATACTAATGATTTTTAGTTATATTTAACTTGAATGCTATATCAAATATTCGAAATTCTTTTGCAAGCAAATAAAGTTTTTGGATTTCAGAACTGCAAGTAGTTAATTAATATTTATTCTGGTGCAAACTATAATATGTACAGCAGCATCGTCAACATTAATGTCATAATTGTTGTACATATTAATATGTTTTCTTCGTCTCTCTGTTATTCAGAGACAATAAAGTTCTTAAGTTGTGATTTGCTCTGGTACGAATTATATTAAACGAAACTTTTAGTAAATGTTAATAATCATATGTGAGGAGTTCTTAATTACATTTAATAACATTCTCAAATGTTTGCTGATAAAGACTTTTTTTTTCATAACGATAAACAGTCGTTGACTATTTCAAGTAAGTAGGCGCATGCTAATTGTAGCATTAGCCGTCCCGTACAACTATCATTGGTCACACTTTGCGTACAGTGAGAATTGCAGATCATTTCCATGCACATGAGCGCCCCCATTTATGCAGCAAGAATTGACAAAAGCTTCGTTTCATCGTTCCATTTCTTCGCTTTTTTTTGGAGTCTTGGAGAACATATTGAACAATTTGTGAATTTAACATGTAGTGAAGCTCAATGGTATTCGATGAAAATAGTGGAGGTATGTTTTGTTGCTTACGAATGTCGCCCTCTACTCGAAGAAAAGCGGTCATAACGAATTTTAAAAGGGTTATTTATTGTCGTATGACCGCAGAATTGTTTTCTCTATATTTCTTAATTTAATTATTGTGATTATTATTATTTATCAAGAATGATGGTAGTTCAAAAACCCAACAGTAGGCTGTAAAAAAGCTAATTAACTCCTGGATAAAGCAAAGTTCAGTGCTACAAAGTGGGAAAGGTTTCAATACTTAGATCTTAAACGGTTTTTAATCTTTGAAGCAGTTCAACCTAGTAAAATGCCAGCAATTAGGAATTACTCCGTAACAATCAGGCAAAATACGAGTCTGCCAAAGAATTTCTCATAATTCTATTATTATTATTATAGTAGCGCGTTACTGATAGAATGATTCTCAGTGTCAATTAAAAGTAGGAACTTCTGTGTTCTGATGATCACCATGGCACTATTGTAACATCTTTGACAGATTATGGTAGAGAAAGATCATCTGTGTTGTTTGTTGACAAGATCAGTGACACACCATTGTGTAATAAAGATTTTCAACATTAATGCTTTTGGCCACGTTATCCGATAATCGCAATATTTTCATTCCCATATGAATTCGAATTTAGTAAAGTATAATCTTGTTAAATCGGCTATAAATCGATAAAATCGCTAGAAAGTGAACATTATTAATCTTAAGCACGCTATAACCGAGTATATTCATTATGTCCAAATCCTGTACGGAAACAAGTTTGCAAACTAGATTTCAAAGTTCATGCGAGATAGTCCCAGTACGGATGGAGAATCCTAATGCTAGATTCCGGCGCAGAGAATCATATTTTGACATACTTAATGATGATGATGTTGGAAAAGTCGGGGTTTTGGAAAGTAGTCCCTCTGGAAACACCGAACTGTGTCATTAATTTATGTTAAGCCTATATATATCAGGCAGAAACATACCGTCGGCGGTTTTTCTTCGCGAGGCGACAATAGGCTGTGATGTCAATGCTTAGTGATAAGGCCATCCCATCGACTTGACAACCTTATTATGCTATTTAATTATCCGTTCATAATTATATCTCCTATAATTACTGAATAATGAGTTTTTTTTCTCCTAGACGAATAATTTATTGCCTGTCATTTTCATATTTAATAAGTTGTTTTACCTGCATTTTTCAGCAGTCTTTTGTGAAAGATTGCAATCCGAAAAACAGCCAATTAAAAATTCAAATTTTGGAGATATATACCTACTATCAATACACGAGTACCCCGGGACACACGTCGGAGGAAACAGTAATTATTTTTCACTTGTATTGATAATTGGGTGTGAATAAAGGGAAAAAGTGATCCAATGTTATGCTTCAATTGTATAATAACCATTTACTAAATTGTTTAAGACAGATTCTGGAATAGCATTCCATTCCTCTGTCATAAACCCTTCAAATTTTTGGGCATTCGTTTCTCAACGTTCCCTTGACAATAGCCCATAAAATTTCTATGGTCAGGACTACAAGAAGGCCAACCCATAAGAAGGCCAATCCATAACCTTAGACACATGGTCAGTAAGAAACTCTTTAGCAATCCTGTTGGTATGCTTAGGATCGTTTATCTTGCTGTAAGTGCCATTTCTTCCCAAGGATTTTATTAATTTCGCCAAGATGATTTTCAAGAATTTTGACGTAAAATTTGCCATCCATTATGGACTGGAAGCAAAATAAACTCGTCTTTCCTCTTGCACAAAAGCCACCCCAGGCAAAGATTTTTCTACGATCTTTGGGCATGCGACGAATTGGACATTCACCTTTGTACCAGCGTTCAATTGTGTTTTGGTACAATTGAAACGCTGTTTCATCAGTAAATAATGTATTTTCCCAATTGTCATTAAGGTGATTCTTGGCCCATTTGACGCAATTTTTCTTATAAACTTCTGTCAGCATATGTGTCGTTAAAGGCAAGGCTTTTTATAGCCTAGAGATGCTAAATGTCTGCCAATTGTGCGATTTACTGCGAGATCGAATACGGTGAATAAAGCGCGTCAAAAAAAGCGTATATGACGAACAATTGATCCAGACACGGAAGGGTAATCACACCGAAATACAATTTCTTCAAAAGACGTTATGCGCATCAAGGTCCTGTAAAACTCGACAAATCAACTCCCCATTTTGCAGGCTCTTTATGGGCGAGTCAAATCCTAAATATTACGACGCTCCTGAACATTCATTTTATCTGGGTTGGGTATATGTTAGCAGGCGGGGTAAATATAGATTTGTTTTATGGACAGAGGATGAATCATTTAGCCGTAATGTATCAGTTTTCTCATTTGTGAAGACCCTAAAGAATAGGAACGTTCATTTTGACTTGGTCAAGGGCTTTGG